TTCGGTGACGCTTCGTTCAGTTGCGTATTGCTCATTGCCATTTACACTATTTAATTTAAAATGCGTTAGGTACAAAAATATACTAACGACATATATTGTATTAGTAACTACTTTTATATAATTATGGTATGTGTGTTGTGAATGTACTAATTACTGTGTATAAAGCTAATATTTTAAGATGAATATATGCATATAACTCTGCTATATATATATATATGTACATATATGACAATAATATGTATGTTCGTAATTTAATGTATTATTATGTAAATATAATTAATATAAATAAAAGTATGCTTTTAAATGAATTTACTAGTGTGCCCTAAATCAGTTAAGGGAACGTAGTGAAGACGCGCCCTACGGAGTCTAACCGGATTCGGGCACTAGTGCCCAACTCAGTTAGGTTCGGAAATACGCCTCCCGGTAGGCTCTAATGAGTCCGTATCGGCTCTGGGTATTTGACCATTCCGTCGGTTCAGTAGCCGTATTGCGTTCCACTTGTGAACGTAAACCATATTATTAAAAATTTGCGTATTATTATTCTTATATCATATTAATATATATGCATTGTAATTGTGGAGACGTCCACTCTTTGTTGATATTTGATTATTTATTATAACTTTAACGCGTATACCTATATTATATTTCTTGGTGTTATTATTTTGAGCAATCGGCGTAGCGTTATTCTATGTATACTATTTTATTATTACCCAGTTTGCGAGTGCGAGCCACTGCGGCTAACTGTTCGTTAAGAGCATTTTTGGCGAACATATCTGTAGTTAGTCCTCAGCCTGCAAAAAGGAAAGACAATTTTGTTAATTTATTATTAATTTCAAATGAATAGTGGAAGCCAAAGCAGACAAATGGGAGCCGATGCGGATACTTTGTCTAATATTACAGAGAATTCTCATGGGTCAGCCAATATTAATTTATTTTAATGAAAAATAATTTAATATAAAATTTGATCATATTAATTTTTTTTACTATGCTTACATTTAATCTAACCTACAGGCTACAGTTATAATTTATAACTATTAAAAAAAAAAAAGGAAGGCAACTTGCGACGTACATCATATTAAGAATATTATAAACGAAGTGATTCAAACACACGGTTAATAAATAAGAAAAAACATGTTTATTTCACTTATTTATAAGTTTTAATAACTTAAATCGTAGGTACTTTGTGAGTATTTTTGTCAATTTAATTGTTATAAAAAGTCCTGGAAAAAAAAAATATGTTTGAATAGCACTTTTTTGTTTCATAGTTAAACTGTCATCAATATCAATAATATTTTGTATTCTAACAATATTTTTATATTTTGATAATCTCAATATTAAAATATACTATACTGTTCCTTCATTTATTAATATTATTATTATTGGATTTTGGATTAACATAAACTAATAGCCAATAGGTATATTTAAAAGGTCTAATTTTTACGAAATATAATTATTTATTCATCTAGTAATTTTTAAATTTTAATTTTTGGTTAATATCATTATAAAATATAAATTTAATTTACAGATTTGATTTTGTTCTAAAGAAATGTATTTAATTAAAAAGTTTGATCAAAAAATGTATTTATTTTACTTAATAATACTCAATTGTTAAAATAATTAAATATAGGCACTTAGAAGTGGCTATTAAATAATAATATAATATCTAACATTGCTTATTTGGTAAAATAAAACATAAACTATAAATAATTTTTAGTATTTTGGTTTCGAAATGTATGGTGTGATATTATTGGCTAATGTTCTCATGCTTGGAGAATTCAGTGTATTGATTTTAACGCGTGGAATCACATAATATGTAATAATATAGTATTAATTTATTATATTAATAAAAATTGTCATTTTTCGGAGCAGTTACAATGTATAGATTGAAGTTAAGAGTATAAAATTCGCAGTACTTTTTTTAAAAGTTGGAAAAACAAGAATACAAAAAATTAGTTTTAGATAAAATCGATTTTTTTTCAAATTGAGCGTAATACCATGAATATTTTTTGTGAATGTCTCAACTTTCAAGTTTAAGTTTTCGCGAATACAACCTTATTGAGCTATTAATAAGTACCTATTTAAAATTTTCGATTTTTTTTATATTTTTAATTTTATAAATATCGATAAAAACATTTTGCACGATCAAAAAACTTTAAGATATTATATTGTTGTTAAAGCTATTTAATTATATTATTGGGATGTAGAATATGGAATTTTTAAATAGGAACTTACCTTGAGGTTAAAATGTTGACATTATTTTTCAAAATTGCAAACATTTTTAAATATCACATACAGATACCTATGTACCTATAAACGTATATAATATAACCCAGTGAACACAGAACAATTACTGAATACCTTAATGATGTAGGTAGTTTATATTATTATTTAGTTGTAGTCACAGGTATGTAAAAGACCTTACTAAAAGTCGTAAAACAACTTTTTATTTCTGTGGTTGTATTAACTATTGTCACATCTACCTCGCAATATTAATAAGATAGCGGCTCACATTAAAAGATAGCTATTATCTTTAATCGTGCCTATCACGGGGCTAGTATCAGCAAGTGGCAAGTGCAGCAGCTGATCTTTGTTTTACTTTATAGTGTAACGACTTGGTTGATTATTTTTCGCTGACTTAGTTTGTCCTGTAATTATCATTGTAAAATAATTGTGATGTTTCGCTGTACGCGTGCACCAGCAGCGGCTCTGTAATTGTCCAATTATTCTTATCGTTTTTCGATTCTTCTCAGTGCACCGAACAGAAGAATTCAACCGGTAGGCAACACATCACATCATCCACGATGAGGGCGTGTCAGTTATTTAAAACGCTTCATATCAAGCCAACTCTCGTGACCGGTTTCGAACACAGTGGTTGTTGCTCGACTTTGAGATTGCCCTCGATTTCGATCAGAAGACCCATGGTAAGTCATAATATGTTGTTTTATCCATTTTTGTAGTCACTGAATTGTTACTATAGTTACATACATTGCTTTGATCGCCTGATTTGTATAAAAAAAAAAATAAGTCACCTTTTAATATAGGTATCTATTTCTTTTTTAAAATGTTTAAGGCTTCCAAGTGTGATGTTGGTGTCCGCAAGGAATCCGATACTTTTGGTGAACTGGATGTGCCAAGCGATCGTTACTATGGTGCCCAAACGGTCAGGTCGACAATGAACTTCCGTATTGGAGGCGAAAAAGAACAAATGCCGGTATGTGCAGTTCTTGTATTCAGTTATTTGATATTAAAATATCATATTTTAGTAATACTACATAAGTAGAGTTCAAATAAATAAATCAGTGTTAAATAAGAATAAAACTAAGTTAAATAGAATTTTCAATTTAATACAATAATATATGGCTAAAGGTATGGTTTCTTTACAGCATTTAGACGTGGTGTCAAACGTCAACTATTGGTTCAAACATAATAGGTGTCATAATGTAGTGCTATTTGATGCTGCAGGGAAACCATACTTTAAGTAAAAACTTAAATTTTATTGTAACTATCTGTATTGGTAATGAACTTAATTTACTTTGGATTTGTAAACTTTACCAATTTATTGTATTACATTTGATGATTAATATCAACATCTTATACTAATGATATCTTTAGATTTATGGCATATGAAATTATGATATTATTGAATTTCTAATTTCAGTATTATATATTATAGTTATATAAAACAAAAATAGAATATTATTTAAGTTATTTTCTAGTCATTAAAATTATAAAAAATATAAAATAAGACTAATTAAAAAAAAAACATCATTTTTATATTGAAATATCTATTTATATAAATATATATTACGAAATGCAATTATACTAAATAGTTATACATTATAATGATGAAAATTAATTTATTACAAGAATAATTAACCAATGTTATATTAAATAATTGATGAAGATTAAAAATATCAATTGTAATGCATCTTATTACATTTAAATTTATTTTAAACATAAATTAAATTCAACATGCCATTTAAATCCATATCAGTGGTTCCTAAACTATTTTCCATTGTAACACACAATTAGTTATTATAAATCAGACTTTTGATAAAAATTGTCTATTTGGAAAAAATAATTACTTTAGGACTTTTAAAAAAAAATGTGTATTAAGTTTTTACAGCTTAGTAATATTTGTATACTTTTAAAATTTTTAAGGACACACTTCAAGAAACACTAACTTATAAAGATAGTTTTTTCTATACTTTAGATTGTTTAGAAAATGATTCTCATAATCTTATACCTAGAACTACAGTACCTATTCTTTGTGGTAATCTTATTACTGAGCTATTAGAATTCTTAATTTTATTAAACATAAATGATAGTTCAAAAATTATTTATTCTTCAGATATTTGATCTCTATTATTTTAATTTATTTCCTTATAATTGAAAATTTGAATTTTCATCTTAAATTTATTCAAATTAGATTTATCAATTATGTAATTATTATTTTTTTAGTATCCAGTAATTGTAGCTATGGGCATACTGAAAAAAGCTGCAGCTGAAGTAAATAAAGAATTTGGCTTAGATGCTAAAATTGCTGACGCAATAAGCAAAGCAGCAGATGAAGTAATCAGTGGAAAACTTTATAATGAAGGACATTTTCCTTTGGTAATATGGCAAACTGGATCTGGTACACAATCAAACATGAACACAAATGAAGTATGTATTAAGCTTACCATAAATAATTAAATGTATAGATGCAACAAAAACAGTTGAATGAAATTTATTACAGGTGATTAGTAATAGAGCTATTGAAATTCTGGGCGGAGAATTAGGATCAAAAAATCCAGTTCATCCTAATGACCATGTAAATAAAAGTCAGAGTTCCAATGATACTTTCCCAACAGCCATGCACATTGCAGTAGCAATGGAATTAAACAACTTATTGTTGCCATCATTAAAACATTTACATAAGGAATTAGATAAGAAAGCGAAAGAATTCTCTGGCATAATAAAAATTGGTAGAACACACACACAGGTAAGAATAATAATTAATTTATTTCAATACATTTGAAATTATACATAAAACTTTAAACGATGTAAATTCTCTTTGTTCTATTGAGTTCTTTAAAAATTCATTATTTTTTGTTAACTCATTAGTAATTAGTAGTTTCACATATCTTAATCTCTGTTTTTAAAGTTAATGAATAATGTGACCATAATTTTTCTATCCAAAGGACATATCTTAAAAGTTTTTAAGAATTATTAATACCTTATTGGTTATTAGATAAAATTATGATACCCTTACTATTTAATTAATACGCTAATTAATTTTAATTTCATTTAAAATTAAAACTTTTAAATAGTTAAATAACATTTAAACACTAGTTTTTATAAATAAGTGGATATTTATTATATTTTATGATTGAATAGTACAAATTGCATAACTAAAGCCATAGGTAGGTAAAATAATAATTTTAAATATTAAAATGTTTATTTATTTAAAAATTATTCAAATGCTTTTTTTTTACAAATGTCTGGCAAAACTAGGAGTATTTTACAAAGGGTATGCTGATATCAAAATCTAGACAATTTACCTTAATTTTCAAAAGAATCAATTAAATAAATACTAAATATATTCATTATATCACTGATAAGATTAAAATTATGAGTAGTAGAATAATAAAAATAAGTTTTTTTTTTTGTTAACTAAGTTAATCTTTAACATTTTTATGTTAATTTTATTGTTTTTAGACTTATAATTTAAAATTTATTTATCCACATTTTTCTAGTGTGAAAATAAAAAAAAATAATTAAATAATATTTCAAAATTAATAATACATATGAAAGTATAGTTGTATGTTATTTCAAATGCTAAAATGTATTATATTGTTTACTGTATACTAATAGAATTATTAATTACTGTTAAACTGTTAATATAGGATGCTACACCGTTAACTTTAGAACAAGAATTCAGTGGATATGTTAGACAATTATATAATGGTATTAAAAGAGTAGAAAATACCTTACCTCATCTGTATGAACTGGGATTGGGTGGTACAGCCGTTGGGACAGGCTTGAATACTAGAATTGGTTTTGCCGAAAAATGTGCTGAGAAAATTAGCCAGTTGACCAATTTACCATTTAAGAAATCTCCAAATTTCTTTGAATCATTGGCTGCTCATGATGCCATGGTAGAAGTATCAGGAGCACTAAATGTACTCTCGTGCAGCTTAATGAAGATTGCGAATGATATCAGGTTCCTTGCGTCTGGACCGAGAAGTGGCTTAGGTGAACTTTCACTGCCAGAAAATGAGCCTGGGAGCAGTATTATGCCTGGTAATTTATAATAATTTCAATTCTCTCTGATAATATTATTATGGTGTATTTACTATTATTAAATGTAATCATATTATTGTAATTTAGGAAAAGTAAATCCTACCCAATGCGAGGCGATGACAATGGTGTGTGCTCAAGTGATGGGTAACCATGTAGCGGTAACAGTTGGTGGCAGTAATGGTCATTTTGAGTTGAATGTTTTCAAACCAATGATTGTGTCCAATGTGTTAAGATCTACAAGGCTTTTGGCAGATAGCTGTATGTCATTTACAGATAATTGTGTAGTTGGAATCGAAGCTAATAAAGAGAGAATTTCACATCTTTTACAAAATTCTCTTATGTTAGTTACTGCCTTGAATCCACATATAGGATATGATAAAGTAAGATAGTCTTCATAAGACTAATTTTAATACATAACGAGTCAAATTTGTTAATTAAATTAATTTTATTTTCAGGCTGCTAAAATCGCAAAAACTGCACATAAAAATGGATCTACACTCAAAGAAGCGGCGTTACAACTTGGATACTTAACTGAAGAAGAATTTGATAAATGGGTCAGACCAGAAGATATGTTAGGACCTAAATAATTGATTAAATTCAGGATAGGTGTAAAATGATATATGTTTTTCTGTTAATAATGTTTTAAATGTTCTACATTGATTTGAAAAAAAAAAAAAATTAAATAAATTTAAATCAACAATTTTTAGTTAATATTAATAATCTGTTTTTATTATTTGATTTATCTGTATTAAATAATGGCTTTTCAATTTTTTTATAGTTATATAAAATCAAAATTATAACATAAATGTACTTATAATAATTGAATACCTTATCTAAGGGAGTCAAGGAATTTGGCCTAATTAGGCGTTTGGTTTATGGTTTTGAAGTTGCCGAACATTCTATTATTAAAAATTATTTGATTAACTGTTTGCATATAATACATAAACTGTTTATTTTAAAAAGCTTACTTGTCCATCATTAGTTTTTATCAGGAAAAGGTCAATTAATATAATATGTTTGTCATTTCCACCTAGTGTACTATCTGTATGACTGTTACGGAACAATGACCCAAAATTGCACAAGTTAGTCACCAAATACGTTTCTCAACTTAAATTTTTAAATAGGGGTTTTATGTGAATATGATAATTGGCAAACCATAGGCATTACTAGAGTAGTAATATTTTGTAGTAATAACATTTGTTACACAAATACTTTAAATTTAATTGCATTTTTATCTAGAATTGTACAATCTAATTACTAACAGCTTTTCCTTTTTCTGGTTTTCTAAAAGAAAATTAATATAAATACCAATAAAATATTAATAAATAAATAAAATAGAGGTACCTAAAATTATTGATTTTGATATTATTTATATAATATATTACACTGATTTACAAAAAATTGTTTTGTTTATTTTTATGAAACATTGACCTCATGTAAATGTAGTGTTAGTGATATCAAAATTAATAAAGGAACATCAAAAGTACTTCTTGTTACTCCTTTCTTCGGTACTTTACATGTAGGAAATAATATTGTCACTAAAAAACAATTGACATAACCCAAATTCTCTTATGTATTAAAAACATCTATATTAAAATAATATTTATAGTGAATTTTAATTGAAGTAACATATTATATTTTAAGAAAAATAATTTTAAAACATTACATTCTTAACCAACAAAATGTATGAAATAACAATGTTATTACAAGTACAATAATCTTAAAAACAGTCTTATCATTATTCAAAATAAAACTTTGATTTATATAAATAGAAAAATATACTATTTATGTTTTCCCTGTGACTTATTTCCATTTCTGGGACGGCTTCTTCTCTTTTTTAATAGTAATTCCCAATCTTTCCGAGCTAGCATGTACAACTGAAGTGCTGCCTTGGCATCTTGAACAGAACTGTGTTCACCTTCTTGTATGCTAGCTCCAAGAAAATGTAATGTCAATCGTTTCAGACCGGGCGTTCGACCTTCTGTCAATTGCTTGAATTGCCAATACGTTGAGGTGTCTCTAATCATGTGTTTGGGATGTGAAATTTTTAATACCCTTAAGTCATGCTCAAGTGCGTGGCCTACTAATAATTTGTTTTTAAGTATTTGTGTGACTTCTTTTTTTACTTTGACAAATAACTCCCCGTGTTCAATGTCTTCAGGTCGAATGCCGCTCACTGGCGTGCGGTAATCTGTTACCTTTGCTGTGGGTTTGACAAACTTGTCATAAATGGTTTCACCCTTGGAGTTGACGATAGAGACGCGAGCTAACATGTTTACTTGTCCATCAGGGTGTATGCCGACCATTTCGCAGTCGATCGCTACAACTTCGATGTCTTTTTTTTCCTGTTTCTGAAACACAAAAAAGCAAAAGTAAGTACACAGCAACATCAGGCTGCAAACACAAAAGCTGGGATAAAGTTACCTGTATGACGGCATTGTTCAAATTACTGGCTGGTGGTGGTAAAGCGTTCGTAAACTTTATCCAATTGTTGGCGCCGTTGGCGTTCTTGTGAACCGCCGAAGCGACGTTTTTGTTCATTTTCGGCTGCAATATTGGGTTGAGAATAATAACCAGAATACAGTAGAACAACACGATGTCCAGGCGGGGTCGAGTAGTAGTTACTGGATAGCGGTCAGTGGACGCTGGATAGTAGGAAACTGTCAACTGGAAACTGGACAGAATTAATGACTACCGGTAGGTATGCCACGAAAAGTTTTCAAAGTTTGGCCGGTCAGATACGACATCGTTGATAAGGGACAAGAGTACACATGAATTACACATTTACACGACGGATAAAAAATAAAACTATTGAAAAGTATGATATTGTTGTGATAACGGATCTCCGACGATAGTAAGTAATTTGTTCGTTGGAATTACGATCTGGGACCACACTATACCACTGAGTACCACAGATGGTTAACTATATCATTTCTATGGTGTAAGGACTGCAACAATAATTTATCGTAATACTTAATAATTACTGTATTACTGTAATAACTACGTCATAATAACGCAATATCAATATTTTAGCGGACAGTTAGGTAGGCGTATAGAATAAACGAACGCGACAGTAAGACCAGAACGGAAACGACATAACCTCGAAAAGTCGAAACATCTAGAGCGACGACGAAGGTATGATTGTGTAGGAATTTCGTATTATCTATTTTAGGTTAAATTTCAAGTTGCTTTTAACAATTTTTATATGTATATATATATATATATATATTATATAACAGTAATAATAATTAAATCGGCGGCGGCGATAATAATAATAATAATAACAACAATAATGACGATTGACGATAAGTCGTTGCCGTCATCGGGCAAATTTAAATATTTGGAATAACGATAATACTGTTATTATTTATCGTCGGATAGTACCGATTCGCGAGATCGGTGACTCGCCACTCACGAGTCACGAGCGCCTAGTTACTAGTTTAGTAGTTTCTGAATCGTCGTCGTCACTCGTCGACCGCCGTCTGGCCGTACAGAAATAGTTGACGAGTCGAAGTCGGTCTTCTACTTATCACGATTTATCAAAGACCACCAAGTACCGACCAAAATAATATTAACGTTTATTATTATATTCAATGTACTGTTTGGTTTCGGGCAAGAGTTGTTATCGTCATCGCTGAACAAGTAAGTAAGTTTTACTAACACGTACCTACCAAAGTTTGTGCTCTCGTTTTGGCTTTCAAGGCTGTAAAACACTAGACTTTCCGATCGGTGGTCGTTCTATTTTATTCTCGTTGACTTACGTTAACACTTCTTTTGAAATGTTATAATATTTAATAACAGTTCGAATATTGTTACCTACCTACACACATGTGGCAGTCTAGTTTACGTACATAATGGTCGAGTTTCTATAATCGACGTGGCTTCGGTGCACACAATAAATCATTATAATCGTAATAATAGATCGTTCGGTCGATCGCCCCGAGGGAGATTTTTACGTAATCAATTTCCCGTTGGCGCGACGTCTATTGTGTACACTGTGCAGTGTAGTTACTGTTATTACGATCGTTGCCATCAAACATTGAAACTGATTGTGGGCTCCAAGGTAATGATGCCCCTTGGGGTGTGTTTTGTCAACAAAGCTAACTTTCACGGTCTACTACCTCCCTCTCATATGTTATGCATGTTACGGGTTTATTGTAATCTTGTAGACTGCTGTGCTGCTTTTACATGTTAAACATTAGGGACATTGTTTTTGGTCAAAATAAAAATTTTGGTTGTCGCCTTTTGATGAGTCACTCTCCAGTGCTAAGCTTTCAACACTACCGATCTGTACACTCATCGTTCTACGGGTAATGTTTGTCAATTGTCCAATGACTCCACTGCACTGTTATTGTCGTATGAATTTTCACTAAATTCTATGTAATTGTTAATTTTTGTGTGATTTAAATCTGTTTTTATCATATATGATTGTACTATATGAAAGTTATCACTTTTTCTTAAGGTTTGTATTCAGATTTTATAATATTCATTTATATTTAAAAAATTTTGATTTTTAACACTGTCCAACGTCTTTCTTATAAATAAAACTAATAATAATATCAATGGATGTTACATTGTTACCTATTATTAAAAAGTTTTCTTTAAGTTACATTGTGGTAAAGTAAATGTTTGCATATTATATGATATTTATGTTGATTATAAACTTAAATTATAATTTGTTATGAAGAAAAGTAATAAATAAATAAATAAATTTTTAAAATTATGTATCTTTGTAGTTAGATCATAGGCTTATAATATTAAAAGCCTATGGGTTAGGTATATTAAATAGCAAAAGATAAAAGAATAACACTGGAATTAACATGAATCCTATACAAACTGATTTTTGTTTATCATATTTTTATACAAAAATTATTTGTCTTATATGCCATGAACCAATTTTAACTTTTGTTTGCAGTTTTTTAAGTATAAAAAAAACATATATTTTGATAAATTAACCAAATTATTTTATTGTATTGTTATACCTTTATGTTATCCTTATAGTTGGTTTTTGTTTTATACATTACTTACAATTTTAACTTAGTATTTTTGTTTAAACCAATTATTAGTTGTTTCAAACAGATTAATTTATTGAAATCTTTTTTTAAAAGATTTAAAATATGCTGTAAATTAGTATATTTATTTGTTGTTTAGTGTATCAAGATAACTTTCAAATTTTAAGAAACAAAGAATAGTCATTTTTTTTATCTATTTCATATTATTTTTAGAAGTAGTTATCAAGTTAATTAGAAAAAAATGAAAGATACCAGATTATACACGGAATATTTCAACGTAAGTTCCTGTATTAAAATAGTTGTTAAAAATTTATTTTATTGGATAGTATTAAAGTTAAATGAACAAAATACTTGATTACATACAGCATTATTTTGAGTTTATTTATTTAAATAATAAAACTTATTTTACCCATACATTTATGTAAGGCTGTAGGCGTTAAATTTTATTTAACTTCTAATTTTCTAATAATATTTTTATCAACTTTTGGGTGATTTTGTTTTGTTATCTAGTTTTTCAGTAATTCATTGTTTTTTTAAAACTTTAACTATATTATATTACTATATAGTGCCTAGCTGTTTTATTAATAAATTATTTTAAGTATCAGGAAATAATTTTTCTAAGTATTTTAATTGAGTGAATTTAACAGGAATGATGAAGCTGATCAAGTGATTAAACCAGTGTGCTATCTTGCCAGTGATGAGTACCAGAGATGCAACAGATGACCGCTATATTGACGATCCTCTTCGAATATGCAAAAAACCACCTTACAAGGTAAAGTCACCATCATATGTCAACATATCTAGATCTATAAATGGTTATACATCATCTTTAACACAGTACGATAGCAAGAAACGTGAGAGTCGTTCTAGGGATTGTAGCCCCATCAATGTACGTACAGTTAATAATTGTAACATGGAAGACCAAAGTATTATGACGAAATGTTCAATAACTGATACAGTTGATTATAGAACTGAATCTGCCAATTCAATAGTTGTAAACACAATCCAAAGACTTTATGGTTCTAGTGTTAAAGTGTCGCCTAAGGAAAAAAAATTAAACAACATTCCTACGTCAACTATAATACAAAGAGAACATGCTGATTTACCTGTCTTAAAGTTGCTCAACCCCCAATTCCGGGCAAAACTAGTAATAAATCATAGTTCACCACCCTCAAAAATAAAACTTTCAAAAATAACTAATGGTAGTGATGTAGAAATTAATGGTGGTAACTACTTTATTAAATTAGTTAATTTAGAATGTGATGCAATAAAAAAATTAATATCACAGGTAGAATGTTTATTACCAATTGCTCCTGAAAATGGCCAGGCTCGTATTCAAGCAATCATTGGTAAATCAAATTTGTTAATGTCCAAAAAAATTCAACAATTCCTTGGTTTATGTGAGAGTAATATATCCTGTGCACATGATGACTTGTCTAGACCAAAAAATAATGATTTAGAAGGGTTTTGGGATATGGTCAAAATACAAGTTGATCAGGTAAAAACTGAAATGCAAGAAATTATCAATTTAAGTAATAAAGGTTGGCCTGATGACGAAGAACAAAACAAAGATAAACCTATCAAAACTATTAAAGTAAAAACGAAAGCAAAAAAACCAGTTGTTTTAAATTCAAAGTATGATGCTGCTAGAAAAAAAGCAATTGAAGAACAACGCAAGGCAATGAAAAACTTAAAAAGTGATGATGTTATATTTTTTTAATTGTAAACATGTAAAGATTAGACTGTAATATTATGTGTTAATGAGTATTATAATATTTAATTAGTAATTGTTTAACTTTTTATTTTTATATTTTGTATACTATGTCACTTGCATTATTGTAAAAACATTATTTTAAATTTTTAAACAAATTTTATGAAAATTTAAAACAAATTGTTAATACATTATAATTATGTTGATTGAATATTTTTAACTTTATAAAACAAGTGCACTTATAGTTAATATACATTTTGTATTTTGCTTTAACCAAACCATAGAATAAGATATAACAATTAAGACAAATTTCTAAATTAAAATTTTATATGAACAAAATAACTAAAATTGAATTATCTGATTAAAACATTTTTTTTATTACTTATAATTTGTTTTGCTCGATATTTATTTATTATTATCATATTTTGTGTATAAGTTATTTTCTTATCCAATAAAATTGAGTATTATTTTTATTACATAAGGAATTTTAATTCCTACCTTTATTATAGTATAGCCCTTTATCTAATTTACCTCCTACAAGATGTTCAAAATTATTTTATAAGTAGATATTTGATAGAATTAATAATTTGTCTTGTAAATTTTTTACATATTATGTTAATCCTACGGCTTGGTTATGAATTGCCTATTTCAGAATTTAAAGAATCATAAAAACTAATTTTTAATTGAAATAAGCTAAAAAATCATTACAATATTGTAATAAATATGGGTCTTTATTGCTACAGTTAAGCATTATACTGGTTAGATAATTAGTTTATTTTAAATTAATACTAATATTATATTATCAAATGGAAAAATAAATTGCTAAAGACTTCTTCCTCAGTAAAACCTTAGATTTAGGAGGTTTAAAATCGATACATTTTAATAAATTTTTAATCGTTTAAATTTATTTTGCATTATTTATGTTTAAATAAATGCAATTTGATAATGAAAAACAAAACACTAAATGCAATTTATCATACTCATTTTTTTTCTATTTTCTCTTATGGTTCATGATTCCATTTAATTTGTTAAGTTTTTTTTTTTTTTTTAATTAAAAAAAAATAATAATTTGTATTATTTTATTAATATTTACAATTTGATTATAGGTGTATTTAAGGTTATAATTTTCGAATTGCAGATATTATTATAATCCTTTTAAACTTTAAACATAAGTTAATTATAGATTTTTTTGGCCCAGCGTTGTCAACACCCTACTACAGGAGTTACTTTAATTGTAAAAACCTGTCTGCATTGGCAAAAATATTATAGTTCAAGTTAAAAATACACGAGTACAAAAACAGATTAAACAAAAAAATAACACTCATTTTATCCCACGTTATATTTGAATTTGAATTTAATTTTAATACTGTGTAATATCTGTAAATGTATATTTTTATGATTATTAGTATGTACAGTACTATACTATAATATGACATGATGTTTTTATATGTATATATTTTTATAATTATCATTTTATGGCGTAAAGGTACGATAACACGTGTTCGAATGAATATGAGTTATACTGGAAAATATATACTAAATGCCCTAAGAATCCTTTCCTTTACTTGATTATTCAATTTATAATCATATTGTTTATTATATAGCTGCGTTAAAAACTTGAGTTCAGATGACTGTGTCAACGATGTAATTACAATTAATAATGTTATCTAATGTTTAGGATTTTTAAACATGTAATAGGTACTTCTGATTGTCACATTAATTAGTATTTTTCAATGATAGTTGAAATTCGAAGTTGTCTAACATCATTTACGGTGACACAATGGCAATGTACCTACCTAGGTGTGACTACTAGGTTCTGAACTGAAACATGTCCTTAATGTATCTATTTTTTTATTTTGTCAAATAAACATTGTTTTTAAGTATATTATACTCTTATTATATATATTTAGTTACATAGATAATATATTAAGTGTATAAAATAAATTAAATTATAATATCTATTAATTGAAAAATTGTAAAAGAAATAATAACTTTCAGAGAGGTTAAATTCTTTGAATTAAGTCAGCGAATTTAACAACAATTATCGAAATAAACATTAGTATTACTTAGATACCTTTTAAAATGACAATAACAAACTTGCTTGTGTATTACACAGTCACACGGTTCATATGCACATACATCAATCTGTTCATGATTTTTAAATATAATACTAAATATAAATATAATTTATCTTTATTATTTTATTGTGTGGAAGATACTGTTTTTGGAACACGTACTCATTTTATTATTTAATTAAATATGTTTCTATATTATGTTAAATTTATTTTAGTTGGCAATTTTTTTTTTTTTTTTTTTTTAAACCCGATAAAAATTATACTTAAATAAATAAAAACAAATATTAGAAGAAAAAAAATTGGTCGTTTTTTAAAAGAACATTGCAGTTAAAATGTATTTTTTTTTTGTGAAGGTTAGGTTAGGTTAGGTTAGGTTTTCAGATAGTGTCTATCACAGTCTAGGCTTTAAGTTTTGTACATTATTTTTCGACGGAACGATTTATCCCATTTGACCATTTCAAGTAGGCGGCCAGTATGTATCTACGTTTAATTTAAACATTAAATCGTATTTAATATATAATATTAAAGATCTTTGTTATATATATGGACAATAACTCGCACGTTCTAAAAATCATTTATACATTTCTTAAACATGAAATATAATATAATTTAGAAGTAATATTGCTTCTCATCTAGCTAGTCTCGAAACATAATATGATTATAGGGGTATGAACCACCACCACTACTTTCTCGAGGAGGACCTTGTTATGCGTACTGGTCACTGGGGTTTGCCAGCGTCCCGCGTAGAGTGAACGTCTACACATACTTTTATTCTATGACAAGCGCGGGCCATTGGGACTTAGATTATAATAAATTGGATTGGCCATTGTTGATTTATGCGTGCATTGTAGAAGTTTAATGTGGCTGAAAAATTCGGTTTAATTGGTCTCGTGGGTGAACGAGCTTACTCGTCTGTAGTACGTACATCGAAATTAGATACTTTAAACTTGATAGGTATCAGGTACATAATATTATGTTAATCATCAGATATTTGCGATAAATTGTAATCGCGTCGACGACGGCGTAAACGTAAAAACCACCTCCGACGATATTCGTGGTTTATCAGATACCTATTTATAAAATGCTTTATAACATTACATGCTGTGCCGTATCTGCGAGGGGTCCAAGGGGTCTAGACCCCCTCCCAGGACTTTTTTCAATATCTTACGCATGCTTAAAATAACTACCTATTTATTTTTAATACCAACGTAAATGTTTTCAGTTATAAATGGCTTAAACTCTGATTAAATTAACTGTTGTCTGTTTTGCATCATAATATTATACGAAAATATTATTATAGTGTCTAATAATACATTGTTATTGATGGACAACGACCTTTATCAATTTCGGTCGGCGGTCGGTGATAGTTAACGGCAATATTAAATTTGTGTCGATTAAAAATATTATTATAATAATGTAATGTCGTCTGCCGGACTGTGACAAGCCCATTATTTGCTTATATTAAAATTTATTAAAATAATATTAGAGCTTTATTTTATCTTATTTTTAACCAAATGTCGAAACTTAAATCCTGTAAAATCATATCATTCATGTTTTAGACCCCCCTACCACCGAAAAGAATTCTGGATATGTTCCTGGATCTATATGCATATTGCATATAGTAGATAGATACGTCGTTCAAACGTGTTCGTATTGTTCGTAGGTAGGCGAAAAAACAAAAAAAAATCATATTATCGAAAAACTCGAAACCTACTTAATTTATTATTACGCGTTTAATGTGTGATGGTGTACGAGCTGTGGGATTACGCCTACCTATTGGCCGTGAATTAGCCTCATCGCCGAAATCGTAAATACATAGGTGCCTACCTACTTAATATACTATTCGAGACATGTTACGATTGCGAATACGTTCCGTTTAAATTGTTATTAATGAGTAACGACTAAAATTATATTATATTAGCGTGCCCGAAACACTTTTACGTGTAATAATATGTACCCACCTGTGAAGCTGATGTTCTCAATCGAGCTTAAAAATACTCATATAGTATAATATACTATTGTACATTTGTACACAACTAACGACATGACGCACATAATAGCCTATAGGAATAACGCTATGGTCGGCAACTTTCGGTTCGCAAAACAATTTTGTATAATCTGCGTGATAAATTTATATACCAATACACATATTATACATTTATACTTAATCCATGTCCAACGTGAAAGCATTATTATGCTCGTTATATTTGTTGACGGGAAACCAGTATTTTTTCCAAACCATTGCGCATAACATATTTTGCAATGTACAATAAATTGACATTCTTTACACATGCTGTTAAGCGTGCCTAGTCTTACTGTAAACAGTGTAAACTGCACTCTCCTTAACATGTTTGTTGTACGAAAATAAAGTATTTATTATTTACCTGTATTTACCTGTATTTATTTTTAAACTTTTTTTTTTTTGGTTTCAACATAATATATTTTAATTAGACAATTTCCCCGTACCGCAGAGACGGTATTTTTGTATTGAATTTATGACAAATAAAAATATAGTTTATCATTGGTATTTTTATTACCTATATAGTAATAATTCAACAATAAATTATAAATAATAGTTTTTATAGAGGTTTAATTAATAGATATTATGTTATGTAATTAAATGTAACATAGTATGTTATAATTAATTTGTTAACATATTGTGTAAATTGTATGCACATTCGAATGAATTATGACGCGCATGTGCATTTATAATAATTTATGTATGTGTCTACAATAACAACGAGGTTAAAACAATATTAACTTAAAAAAATAACTACCAATGCCATTTTAGTGCACACAAAATTAATAATATAATATACGTAGAACTTGATGTCGTGGACGGAAAACCAATTATTTAGAACGGATATATTGAATTTTTATGTGCACATATCTGGTTTAAATTCTAAGATAAACACTAGACAATAGTAATATATGTATATATGTAAAAAATTTGTCACATACCTATGACATGTA